ATCCCTTTATAATTTATACTTTTTTATAACTGTGTTTACATTACGGTCATAAAAATAATATTATCTGAAGGTTATCTAGATGAATTATTATATAATTTTATCTGTTATTTAGGTATATTTAAACCAAAATTATTTTTATCTTATCTAATTTCAAGATAAATTTAAATATTTTTATCTCATTTTTATTTAATTCATTTTTAAATTATCTAATTGTAAATACAACTGTTTATTTAGACAAAGTAGATAATATTCCCATATAAATTATATCTCAAAATTTATAAATTAAATTTAATTACAAATTTACAATTTAAATTTCAACATACTAGTTCAAGAGCCAAACGTGAATAGTAATGCATCGATTTCAATAAAACTTATTTAATTGGATATTATTAATTATTAATTAATTAATTTAATGATTTGGTATTATACCAAGAATTTCTTTTATGTATAAGAAATCAATTTCAGTGCAAAATTTACTTGTTTGGCTTTTACTAGCTTGTTAAAAAATTTATATTTGAAATTGCCCTTATTAATTTCAGTTGTTACATTTAATTATATTTGTATAATTTATTTTATTATTCATTTAATTAAGTTGAACCAATTGTTTGCTATGTGTGGGACTAATATTAAATACAGACATATGTATATTACATTATATGTTATATTTATGTGAAGAAGTTTACAATTAATCTATTATTTATCGATATAATACTTATGCACCTTTGTAATATTCAATTTTATAACACTTGTATAGCATTAATTTAACTATTTACTGAAATCGGATTAAATATTAAAAATTTTCATAAATATCGATTTATGTTAATCTTTGATTTAAATGACTAGAAATTGCAGATTTTATTTATAGTTTCTGCTATATAACTAAATATAACTAAATATAACTAAATATAACTAAATATAATTAAAACTAAAATCAAGAATTTTTAAATAATTTAAAAATATTATGTTCTCATAATATACATATGTATATTATATACAAAAATAATAACAAATAAATTTTTTGTAATCATATTTACTAATCAGTCTTTCACTTAACATCTTATCAATACAATCTTATTATTTCTTCAATTCTATATATATAGACGCAATTATTTTTTATCTATGCTAATTATAAAAAATTATATACAAAATATAAATTATTATCTGTACATTTATTAGAAAGTAAATTTATAGACAGGGAGAGAAGTTTCGCCACCCCTCTTGCATTGCTACTCTGAAAAAATTATAATCTAAAATATATTTCTGATTTAAAATTAAAATTAGCTTTGGGTTCAATTAAATTTAGGTTTAAACTAGATTAGATTTTTTTAGAAAAACTAGGAAGAGATGCAAAGCTTTTTTTTACCCACATATTTATTTAAATTATAGTATATGTGAATATACAACGAATATAAAATTGATGCTCGATAAAATTCAAATTATCACGTTATCACACTCATTATCGATTTTATTCATTAATAATTTTGTGTGATTAATAATAAAAAAAAAATTATATAAATCAATAATTCTTTTACTTAGAATTATCACCTTGACAACATAAGCCAAGGCAATCAAAATTAAACTTTCGGTCTATCTTTTATTCTCAATGTAATTACGAAAATTAAACTTTAATATAAAATATCTTAAACATAAAATAAAACAAATATTATAAGACAGTGTCTCACATTCTAAGCATATATTATTTAAGAATGAATTTTATTACAATCTATATCAAGATGCGCTCATACTGTGTAAATTTTTGCAAAGAATTTACGAATATAATTTTATTTTAAAACAATTTTTATACTTAAATAATTTATTATAATATTTTGTCATATGTTTCTGTAAGTTTTCAATAAATATGTCAATTTTGGCATCCAATTTTTTTAGATCTCAATTAGCGTACAATTTATTTCAATGATAAGAAAGATAAGATTCGCTGTACGAGCCCAACGCGAATGTATGTTATGTACCATACATACGCAAATACCACGAAAATTTAATTTTTTGTTTTGTACATGTGCACGAAGCACGAAATTATTATCGTCATTATTATTTTAATGAGTTCATAAAAAAAAACCCTGTATGACATCTTTATATATACAGATACATTATGTATCTTTATATACAGAAAAATAAATAATTGAATGAAACAAACTGAATAATAATAATTAAATCGAAGTGCTCATAATCTCCCTTCCTCTCCCTCTCTGTCTGCTAATTTCAATTTTTGATACAAAAGATTCCATCTACATTATTCCGTCCATATTATTTTAAAAGTGATTGTATTTTCTTAATGTAATTGTTTTTGATGAAAAGTTTGCTACAGTATTATGGTCTAAAGAACTTACTGGAAAACATCAAGCGGATAAATGCTTCATTTCTTATTCAGTAAATATTTTATTTATAGAAAATGTCTAGCAAATGTTTACAGGCATTCAAATAATGTAACTTTTAGATGTTGTGTCATATTGTAACTTTTCTTTCTTACGTTTTTACATAATTAAGTTTTATTTTTTGCAGCTTATTTAAATAAAAATTAAAATAATTCGAGAAAATAAAAAATTATAACCGCACATTTTCTATTTGCAACGCACAATTATATATATATATATATATATATATATACAATTTTGACAATAAAATAAATCTATCAACTTGCGTTTATATTGACTGATAAAATTGTTGCAAGTCTTTCTATAATATTCTTTAAAATTCAATACGTAAGATTGGAAACATCCGACAATGAGTTTAGAACTTAAGATTCGATATTGCCTAGTGCAATATCGATTTCCAAGAGTGAATGTCATTTGTACGATGTAATATTAATGTCCTTTGACTTTTTTACGAAGATTTTCTTAATTTGAGTATATAACAGATACACACATACACACACACACATTGACTACTTTTTTCCATTCCTTTTTATCCCTACCTTTTCGTTTTTCAAATATACTTATAGCCGTGGAACAATAAAGCAGCATGATAAAACTACTTTTGTTTCTTTCAAATCATACGAAAGAACGATATACTTTCTGCTTATATCCTGCGGCGCATTAAAATGGAAACGTCGGAGAAATTCCAGATAATGCCCAATAGTAAATTAAGATATAATAACTTTCGTGAAAGTTGTACGATGGTGAAGCAGTGAAAGAGGTGGAATACGAGGAGGTAGAGAACTCTATTAACTTTTATTTCTCCGGGAAAGTAACTTCTCTCATCCTCCTCCTCCTCCTCCTCCTCTTCCTCCTCTTTCACTTCCAGTTCTCCTACTCTTCTCTTCCTCTCCTCCATCTCCTCCACTTCCACCCAGCACCTCCATCTTTTCTCTCTCTCTCCCTTCATCCCGTCGCTATCGTTCCTTGCCTATGCCTCTCATCGTCGGTTTTCTTCTCTATCTCGACACCCTCGCACTTACCGCTTCCTCTCGTCATAGCTCGATCGGCCGCCCCTCCAACTCTCTCAACCCTGCCCCTACCCCGGAGTCTTGGCCTCGGCCCCCGCCGACTTCCCCCCGACGGTGAAACTTTGTAAAGCGACTTAGTCAAAGTTTAATAAATTCCTTCGAGGAAGTTTCAAAGAGCGGTTCTATGCGGGATTGCAAATGATTACGTTTCGTCGTACTAGAGAATATGCGAAGATAGGAGGAATCGGTATGTAAGACCGACAGAGGCAGGTAAATAAATGGGAAAACAGAATAGTAGGTTTGCGCAAAAACATTTTTGCAAAAGTAAGTGATATTAAGTTACGAGGATATTAAATCATTACGGAAATTGATATTGGGCTGATCAGGCTTACTAAGGCCAAAACACAGTAGAGGAAATATTAGGAATGGGATAAATATTAAGCATTAGGCTTATTGCATAAGTAATAGAAGCAGAGAAAATATCTACCAACAGAAGGAGGTAGCAATAGATATTATTTCCTGCTTCTATTGGTTCTCTATCTTCTATTCCCCTGTTCTTACATTGCTTAGACTTTTATATGCAATAAATCTAATGCAATAAGTCTCTTAATATTTAATCCTATTGTACTTTGGTCCCTTAGGCTGATTAGATCTATTTGATTCGTGTTATGGCAACAAATCGAAAGTAACTTTATTTTTCTACAAGTAGCAAAAGTACTAGTAACAAGAATAAGGAAAATATCTACTAATAGAAGGAGATAGCAATATATATTATTTCTTGCTTTTATTGGATATTTTATATTTCCTGTTCCTATATAGTTTGAACTTTTATATTGCGCAATAGGTCTAATATTTAACATTTGATCTTATTCTTAATATTTTTTCTAATGCACTTTGATCTTTAGGCTGGTCAGGTCTATTATAGACTAATTGATATTCTGGCAACAAATCAAAAGTAACTTTATTATTCGTAAAGAAAAGCTAATATTATATTAGAATTGCAATTTCAAAGGAACGCAGTGCTTGCAACATAGTGGTATTATTCCATATTTTATATTAAAATTGTAATGCTAACATTTATATATGTTTCAATCATTTTCGTCCGGTATTATCCTCATAATGTGACTTCTATTCAATTCCAAATAACTTCTATTTTGAATCACAGATTGAACTCCCTTTAGATATACGGTAAAAAAATCGTCGAATATGTAATAATCTCATAACTTAGTTTATACTCTCACAAATTGTACGAACGTTTTGTGATCGATCAATCGTGGAGTACAATATAACATTGCAAGGTATAGTCGCGTTTTCATTTATAATGAATACCGAAATTGAAATATATATTGCGAGAACATCTTTTTACAAAATAATACTTCTCTTGCTTCTTTTCCTGTTTTATCGCGTGTAGCTCGGAGGTAAATCAATAAGGAATTCTCTCGCGTTACATCGGTGATATGAAGTGTATATAAATTCAGCAGATAAGTAGGAAGGGGAGGGGGAGGAAGTATTATAAAGCGTCGTTCATAAAAACAAAACAAAAAAAAAATAGATTCGTACTTTATGCACAAAAGAGAAATCTATGTGTCGAACGAAGGGACGAACGAGGACAAGGAGAGAAGCTTACTGACGTAACAAACACAATTGACTCGGTGATACTGACCAGAAAATGGCTGCCACGACGCAAACAAATGAGCAAGTCCAACCATTTCCATGGCAACAATCTCAATCAGATAGGAGCTAGCGAAGCAGAGAACAGAGAGCACGCTGGATAATATATTCGATACAGGTAATATATAACGCTCCAGATACAATATTTATGTCTCGTATTTCACTAGCAGCCCATTATTCATTCGCTCGTACTGAATAAGCATTAATATCATAGAGCTCAGTATGTGTGTGTGTGTGTGTGCGTGCGCGCGCGCGCGCGCGTGTGTGTGTATGTGTGAGTGTGTATGTGCGTTTCGTGCACTGCACAAGATCTTTTTCAGTTTTACTTCTGCCTCTACACTCTCTCGACCCGTTCCGTTTCATCTCATTCGTAGAATATACCTATGATGATCGCTGACGATCAACTATTATACGTCAAATCAAAACCGTTTAAATAATTCACTTGCATAATCCATTTTTATTTTATTTTCGCCCGATCAAAGGCTATTCAGGTACATATCTTTGCCATCGATGACTTGCATATTAGTGGCAAATCGAAAAAAGGCAGTGAACAGTGCAAGAAACCGGTTACCATTGTTACATAGCGTCGTCGCTACCACGAGAGTCATCGACTATGAATATATATCCGAGATATATCTATATCATGAAGTAAACTCTTATTTCATACGTGTGTATGTATATCATACATAGTAATGCTATGGAATTATTTATTTCGAAAACTCTGTCTGTCCTTTTGAATAGAATAAACTATGAAGTAAAAGAAATTAGGAGCAAGAATTTAGGAGGAGATAAAAATCAAATTAAATAGGCGATCAAGTTTGCTTTACTCCTGAAGGCACAATGTTTCTCTATTATATGTTTCTATTTTAAGATCGAATGAAATGGTTATGACGCATAAAATAAAGTCAACGTTCGAGTAATCTATCTAACGCTAGATAAAATACAAGCATCTGACAAAAGATACAATTAGCGGATTTTGAGTTTAGATTTAATTTTATCATCTAGATTAAGAATTATTTATATGAATGTAGATTAATTATTTATAATAATTTATTAATTTATTATTAATTAACATAATAATTCCATTATTTCTTGTAAATATTGTTATTTTTCCATAAAATTTGTGTATCCGTAAATATATTCATGTACAAGTTATTTTAATAAAAAATATTTTTGAATAGACTAATTATTTGTTACTAATGCACGTGATTTTATGTTAGCAATAATGCATATAATATAAAATATAATTTCTTAAATTGCAATAATTATAACGAGCGATAAGTTACGATAGCTTTCACTTTAAAGACTACGAAGGAAATCTGATAAAACAAAAGTAGATGATAATTTCCTTATAGCTTAAATTCCTTTCTAATTAAAGTGATCTGATTCATAAGTTTTCATAAATTTAATTAAATCTAATAGGTTTATTACACAAAAATACTTAATCACTCTTTTATTTTTGTTCCTTTTTTATCAAAATTTTCAATGTAAATTTTAATTTAAAATGTAAGAAGTATCTTACATGTTTTAGTTTGATGAGCATTTTACATTATTGTCAAATATCAATTCCGTGCTATTTCTTTTATTCCTGGTAATTTTTTATTAATGCTTACATCGTAAAAAAAATTCAAAAGAAATGCATATAAGAAAAAAATATAAAGATATATAGGCCAAGAAAATATCATTTAATATGCTTGCAACGACACACACAAAACAGTATTTCATGATTTCAATTCGTATAAGTTCTTTGAAATAAGAAAAGATAAAAAAAGACAAATATTCGATATCACGCGTCCGATAATACTGGATATGAACGACAATTTACTATATAAGTTAGAAGAGAGAAGAAAGAGAGAGAGAGAGAGAGAGAGAGAAAGAGAGAGAGGGAAGGAGGGAGACGAGTTAGCTCGAATTCCATTATGCTGTTTTACGCCCGTCATTCTTGTTTTTATTGCATGCCTCTCATCGCTTTTTTCTCTGTTTTACGGCCCTTGCCTATGAACGTATTCCTCGGTAGATCGCGAGTTATTAGTTTTGTCCCTTCATTATTTTTATATTCTCGCTCAGAACAGAAAGAGCAAAAGAGAGATAGAGGCAGAATAAAAAGAAATCAGGAAATTAAAATGACTTTTTATGATTGATAATACGCGAAATAAGAATAAAGTGTAATATTATACACATTGTGTTATAGTATATATAGTAAAATGCATATAGATATTAAAGCATTCATTATAATATATTAGTATATTTTAATATATTAGTAAAGCAAAACAAGAGCAAAACAATTGTTTTATTAAAATTATGGAATTTGATGATTTTATTATTTTATCAGCAAGTCTTTGCATTCTTTTTTGCTTCGCTGACTCATCTCACATTTCAGATATATAAGTCATAGTTCAATTAAAAATGTGATAATATAAACGTGAAATGTGATATAGAGCGATAAAAGTATATCATTTATTAATAGAGATTCATCTAATGTATATTTCGGAAAAATCACTGTTTATGTACAATGTATCTTCTAAATAAAATAAAATAACACATCTCAATAAGTCGTTGGTTCTAAGAAAAAATTAAAATTAAAATTGTAAAACATAGAAGAAGCAAATTTATGTAATTATCATCATCCCCATCACTTTATATTTCAGTATACATTAATTTTTTTCAGAAGTTACATAATAAACTTTATGAAATAATATATACCTATTTCAGGTCGAATCTAACCGTGTCATATGTTATGATCTTAAAATGTATTTATATAGTATATTTTTAGATCATAAAATGTCAGACACTTTTAACATTATCCAGAATATACTGCGTAAAATCTAACTAGCATATCTCTCATATGTGAGGGTATTTCACATATATTATATATTCACAGTGTTTGTTGTTATCTAAATAAAATTATATAGATAATCATTTATAGATGAAATTTTGGCGTCATCTTATCTTTACATAGATAATAAAATTATATCTATCTGCATTTTAGATGAAAAAAGTGTTATCTTCACTAAATTATTTAGAATAATATTCAGATAATTTGATTTAGAGTCAAAGCACATAAAAATACTTAATTAGTAGAACTTAAGCATTAAGCGATAAAAATTATAAATAAAAATTATTATTTCCTTTTTATAATTTACATTTTTTTTATAATTGTGTTTACATAAAGCGGTTTTAAAAATAATATCTGGAAGTTATCTAGATAAAGTGCCACGTAATAAGATAAATTTACATATTTTTATCTTATCTTCATCTAGCTAATTTTAAAATCATCTAAGCACAACACTGTACATATTACATATTACATATATTATATAGTCACATTAAATATATATATGTTCTATTTTGACCTACATATGTGATAAGACAATGCCTGTAAATGTCGAATTAATAACAAAATAGTGTTTTTATGTAGCCCTACAAATGAAGGATAAACTGACTAACCATGTGACAAAACCAACTCAACTATTTCATTGATTTTGAAATAGAAAACATTAACTCTGTACTATTTATGCGGAATATGGAAATGCATATGATTTTATTAAAACCCCATATTGTGTGCTTTAATAGTATATTAGCTAACAAGTGCGGGGGATTGTAAATTGGCCGAGAGTACGGAAGTTTTGCAATCCGCACGATCGGCCGATTTATGACCCCCCGCACATGTTGGCTACGATATTTTGTGTGACCGGTGCGTGGAAAAAGAGCCCTTTCTAAAATCTCATCATGTGCAGAAAGGACGACTTTTCGCGCGCCGGTTGCACAAAATAAATTTTTTAAATGAGAAATTATTCCGCATAGAATTCAAATATCTCGAACATTAAATGTGTTTGATTTAAAAATTAATGATCAATAAGTCTGTACTATTATCCAGTAACAATATCATGAAAACTTCATTGTATTGGCAGTCAATTTATCACATCCAATAAGGATTTTTTTATTGACCAATAATGATAATTGTAATATTGATTTAGAGTCAAAGCACATAAAAATACCTAATTAGTAGAACTTAAACATTAAGCGATAAAAAATTATAAATAAAAATATAAATATATTTTTATTTCTTTTTTATAATTTACAATTTAATATTCTAATGCTATGAAACGGGTAACTTTATTACAAAAAAAAACATTCTTAGAGAATAAGAAATTTAATCAGTCTTCTTTCTCTAATTGTCGTATAGTGGTAAAAATGAAATCTAAAATAAAATTGTCGTATAGTGGTAAAAAAGACTTATGTTACATCTGTTCACTTAAAACTTCTACAATTGTCATTTGAGTTTAAAAATGATTATTGAGGATCATAGCACAATAGAGGAAATATTAGGAATAGGAATAAATATTAAACATTAAATTTTATATTGCACAATAGAAAAATACAGGCAATAAATCCTAATAAAATCCATCATACCCAATTCATTCTGAATTTTGACACTTTCTAAAAAAATTAATGATGGTTTGCAACGAAATAAATCGTAAAGATTTTTTTTTAACATATTACATCTCACAACGATTGATATTAATATAATAAATTGTAAGATATTTTTCATTGAAAGTAGGGAAGAGAAACAAAGCCCATTAATAATAATACTAACTACGATATATAGCGCAATTTATTTTTATTTGTGCGATTTATTATGCTTTATGAATACGCTTTAACTTAATAAATTATGTTTATTATGTTTAACTTGATAGATGTCGGTGGATGACACATCTTATAGTTTAATATATAAGCCATTACGTTAAAAGCGATGTCGGCTTTTTATGTTTCGATCCGATAATATAGATAAGGAAAGTAAAGTACTTTTTTCTTGTTATTACGCACATGTTTGAAAACATATAATATATAATATAATTTCAAAGTATCAAATATTCGATATATAATACATGTATCTCCCAGGTAGCAAACGCACGTCATTTTGACGTTATTTGGATATCAAATGATATGTATTTGTTACTTGAAATCGTATAGCGTTACAGTCATCCGACAGTTAAAATCCAAACGACAGTTATAAACAACTTATTAATAATATTATAAATTTTTAAATGGTCTACATCTAAAATATTATTTGTTTAAATAGAAAAAAATATAAATATTTTTTCTCTCTTTTATTCTTCTTATTTTACAGAATTTAATATTTTAATCATTTTAATATAATTTTTTAATTATTTTGTTTCTCTCTTTCATGTATCCATCTCTTAAAATAACAAAATAACGACTTGTCAACAATCAATTTATTTAATAATAGATGCAATATTTAAATATGATATCTTGTTAAACAAAATTTAGAAATCTATGTACATTCGTCCATCATATTTCATGCAATAATGTAATGTTATGGATTTGAATATATTGGAAACACAACTTTGTTCTGACATAATAATATTTTTTCAACAAAATAATTTTACTCTCTACTTATAATGTCATAAGAATTTTTATATATTCATCCATCCGTTCATCTCACCATATATCTATATGGTGTCCCGCAACATGATGTTCACACTAAAACTATTATGTATTCTTGGTGTCATTCTTAGTCAAAAAGTCTTAATACACATATGTCCTTAAGTCGATTGTTTTAAAGTTACAGTAAAAAAACAAAATTGCATAAAATAAGATATGTATTATTTATTAAAGATGATAATATTATTTATTGAATGATAATATTAAATAATAATTAATTATTTTATAAACTGTGCGATAAAGTAAGTCATAAAGATGCTTTTTTCGCACTTGTGCGGTAAAGTAAGTCATACATTGAATCGTTAAGAAATAAGCCTCTTTCCGTACGCTAAACAGCAATCGAAAATCAAACTTTTGTGACTGGCATTATGAAAAACAATTACCTGCATTGTCATAGTAAAAAAATTAATAATAAATAAATGTGTCAATAATAATTAAAAATTATAAATAAATAAGTAAGTAAATAATTGCTTTTGCATTTTCTCGCTACAACTTTAAAACAATCGACTTTAGGGCATATGTGTATTAAGACTTTTTGACTT